TGCGTATAAAGCTTGTGGATTCCATGTAGCTAAATTAATTGTTTCGCTGGTTGTCAGAAGGGGCATCAGCCTCGTGACTTCCGAGGGAACTCGACTTTCACCATGAGGCGTCACAACTCTTCTAAGTGAAGACCTTCTAACTCTGAGGGTAGGGTTTAAATGGTTTAAAATATTCTTTCTGGTTAGCGTTTTGTTAAGCGAGTTGGTTTTCTACAGGATGTGGTCGCTAACCTCATGCCCATCCCTCCTCCTTCATTCGAGCTCGGTGCTGGCGGCGTTTATTTGCCATTCAGAGTACGACTTATAAAATCTTAGTAATGTGCCATAACAATGACCGGTATGAGTAGCCTAGCGTCCTTAGTCCATTAATAGTTCTCAGAGGTTACCTGTAATTTCATCTTCACCAGGATATAATAGTATATATATTCATAGTCAAAGACATCAACAACATTATTTATTGTGTTGCTTAATGTACTGAAATTGAATGATGTCATTATTAGTTCTTACGGTTCATTACAATATGCATTTATACTAAATAATTCTTGAATATCTACACGTTTACTTCTAATTTAGAACCGAAGAGAATGATTTTACTGTATGTTTTCAGTTTATTTAGGTAATACATTTGTACACTTTATATACTTATAACTCATAATGTGGTGCATGCTACTGATGTCGACATATATAAGTAGCATGTATCATCAGTTGGAAGTGAAATACCTGGCAGCAGAAGGTTAAAAAGATCGAAGAAAAGAAAAGGAGAACAAAGAATAATTGCTGTGGAAATGAAGGAACAATGAAGTCTGAGATGATTGACTGACATTTGCAAAAGGGACAGTCAAGTTTGGTTCTCAGATTTTACTAAGAGATTCTGTAGTTTTGTATTTAAATACATTCGATTGTCCTTACTTGTGTTATCATTCTCTACAACAATCCTTATCGAACTGCATATATGATTAGATCTGTCATTAATCCTAACATTTTAGTTGACTACTAAATAACCCTGTTTTTGAAGAGTTTTATGAAATATACAACTCAAAAAAAAAATTAAAGTAATATTACGTCTACAAATTCAAAGAGTTATTCACTTATCTTCAAATAAACCATCATAATACATAGATTTGCAAATAATTATTTTAATAGTTGAGATCATGAACCGATTGAAACTAGATCACCATGGAAACCCAGGATGTACTGGACGGCCGTCCCGTTCTAGTATGAGACTCCTCAAAAGTGCTCGTCCACGATCTCACCTCGAGAGATTCGAAACCAGAACCTATCGGTGTTGCGCACGGACACTTAATCTCTAGACCACTGATTCGGCCGGCATCCAACGGTGTTAATGTCTAACTTCAACCAATTCCTGAAATTTCACCACCGTCGTATGCTGAAGAGTTCCATACTTGTACGAAACAGCCGTCCAGTGCTTCCAGGTTTTCCATGATGGTCTAGCTTTAATGGAATCATGAATTCAAATATTATAATTACTGTAATATCCACGAGATCTCCTCTCAGAAAATAAGTACTGTAATACGAAATATTGTTTTTTTTTAAAAAAAGAAAATACAATTTTAATCAAATTAAATGAATATTTTCAATGGATGGGTAAAATAATTCACATTTCATGAACTGCTACATTAGACTTTGGGTAAACTTCCTGTTTACGAGATTTCAGATGAACATATGAATAAAAGCAGTGTAAATTCAGTGTTTTGTATGTGAGTAAGTAGTTTGAATATCTAAGATACCTGTTCCTGCCATCTGGATATTTCAACAAGTTACTGTTTTCGCATGTTTGTTTTAACAAATCATCATGCCTATAAGTTTCATAAATTACTTACTTACGCCTGTTACTCCCAATGGAGCATAGGCCGCTGACCAGCATTCTCCAACCCACTCTGTCCTGGGCCTTCTTTTCTAGTTCCATCCAATTCTTGTTCATTTTTCTCATGTCCATTTCCATTTCTCGGCGTAATGTGTTCTTTGGTCTTCCTCTTTTCCTTTGACCTTCAGGATTCCATGTGAGGGCTTGTCTTGTGACGCGGTTGTGTGCTTTCCTCAATGTGTGTCCTATCCACTTCCAGCGCTTCTTCCTGATTTCTTCCTCCGCTGGGATCTGGTTTGTTCTCTCCCACAGTACGTTGTTGCTAATAGTGTCCGGCCAATGGATATGAAGTATTTTGCGTAGACAATTGTTAATAAACACCTGTATTTTCTGGATGATGGCTTTTGTAGTTCTCCAGGTTTCTGCCCCATACAGTAGAACTGTCTTGACATTTGTATTGAAAATCCTGACCTTGGTGTTGGTTGACAGTTGCTTTGAGCTCCAGATGTTCCTCAGTTGTAAATATGCTGCTCTTGCTTTGCCGATCCGCGCCTTCACATCTGCATCAGATCCACCCTGTTCATCAATGATGCTGCCCAAATACGTAAAGGTTTTTACATCTTCCAAATCTTCTCCGTCAATTGTGATTCGATTGGTGCATTCTGTGTTGTATCGGAGAATCCTGCTTTTCCCTTTGTGTATATTGAGACCTACTGCTGCTGAGGCTGCTGCCACACTGGTCGTCTTCTCCTGCATTTGTTGTTGCGTTTGGGATAGAAGGGCCAGATCATCTGCGAAGTATAAGTTTCATAACCTAATCATCAAATGCATTTGTGAAAAGTTTATTACATTTCGCCGTATGACTTATAGAAGAGCCTAATCACATACGTCATGGTTGCTGCTTATATGCATCGAAATGAATGTACATCATTCAGATGTCGATTCCTGAACTGCTTACATCTAATTGGCAACCACTCGATATTTATCGTCAGGATCAATCAAGAAATAAGAAACGGAAACTCGATGAAATACTTTGTGCTGAATATTCTATATTGTACCAAGACTATAATATTGAATAATGCTAATAATATAATAATAACAATAATGGTACTAATGAAAAAGATTGAATTAATGGCTCGCATGGTCCTAAGAATGTAGGTTTTGTTTCAGTTCTAAGTTTGGTCAATAGATCAATGGTAGGATATGAAACTAGGACAAATGAAGTTGGCAATAAGTTACAAAACAATGTGAGATAATAAAGTACATAATCATCATGGATGTTAAATTTTCCTTGGAAACATAAAAACGACATCAATTGGGTGAAAAATCGCAAAACACTCATCCGTTCAATTCACTTTTGTATTGGTTCTTTAAATTTTCTCATTAATGTTTCGAACTATAATTGATCAGTCACTTATTGGCATGTGTCCATCTTGTGAGGATTGTCTTGATATTGTATAAAGTTATAAGCATTATAAACAAAAATGGATAATGATTTGCAGTGGAATCCAGAACGCACATCTCCTTTGATATGGGACTCGTCAGCTGGATGTAACTGTCTCCCAAACTTGATGTTCACTTCGAAACTTGAACTGAGTACCGTTCACTTCAAGTGTTATCACGTTATCCAATAAGCTAATAAATACAGATAACCAGTAGCTTGTATAAAGGGGGTGAAATCATCAATCTAATGAATTACTATTCAATATATAACCAGTTTGAAATTCTACTGTATTTCATGTACTTTACTTATATATTACAGAAATCATAGATTTTATTAACTACTCCATTAAGTCATGCATTGTATGCTCAGTTTTCTACTATACAAATTGTATAATTTACAATGTGATTGCATATAATTTGTATTTAATAATAAAGATAAAAAAACAATTAATTACTTGTTTTATGACTGATAGAATTAGTACAGATTTGACTATGAATTTCTAGTATTATCTAACGTTACTTCTTCATAGGAAATCAAGTTCAACTTTGGTATTTATACTTTAAATTGATTACTGATTTGCAAAGAATGACTACAGAAGTGATTTATGCTAAGTGCTGGAAAGATAGAAATTCCAGTTTATGCTTATTGGAAGTGACAATATACTAGTATATTATTATTATTATTATTATTATTATTATTATTATTATTATTATTATTACTATTATTAGTATAACAAGTCGATCCAGTACTCAGTTTATTTGAAATTATCAAGACACACGTTAATAGTGACACTTACAAATTTTAAATAAACAATATAACCCTCTTTTTTACAAACAAACATATTACAATGATCTTATTCATTTATACTTGACAACAACGACAACAACGGCAAAAAAGCTAATAAATTGGTTCATTTAACAAAATCATTAATAGATTAAGAAATTTTGTAGTTAAATTCATGAGTTAATTAAAGTTAGACTACCATAGAAAACCTGCAGGCACTGAACAGTCGTTCTATCCTAGTATGAGACTACTCAACAGTGTGCAACCACTATCCCACCTCACAAGATTCGAACCCAGAACATATCAGTCTCGCGTGCGAACGTTTAACCTCTATACCATTGCAATGGTGTTCATAATCTAACTTCAACCAATCCACGAAATTGAACCACACGTCCAACATTGTCCTCAGTGAGTTACTATCCAACAACAGTGACTGGCTTCAAGAGGTATTTCCTCTAGTTCTAATGAGAAGTGATGAGCAGTAGAGTTCAACCGGATATGTTGTAAGATAATAACTCATTGATGACAATGGTAGAAGGTGGCTCAATTTCGTGAAATAGTTGATGTTACACATTAACACCATTGGATCCTGATGGATCCTCAGTAGTCTGCAGGTTGGTTAAGTGTTCGCGCTCAAGACCAATAGATCCTGAGTTCAAATCCCACGAGGCGAGATCGTAGCTGAGCACTGCTGACGATTCCCATACTTGTACAAAATGATCGTTCAGTGCTTCCAGGTTTTCCATGATAGTGTCTAACTTCACATGACTCATGATCTGAACTATTAAAATTACTATGATATCCACAGAATTCCTTTCTGTGATTAAGAAATATCAACAACAACAAAAAATAATAATCAATTGATTAACATAATTAGTAATATTTTCATAATCATATTTAACATGTACAACGCTGAATGATGTTTATTATATCAAGTTTGTTATGAATTTATAGACAATAAGTAGTTTATTATTCTATAGTTGGTTATTAATAATACATTATTACATTAGTACTTGAATATATATGGTGATATGAACAAAAGAGAAGAAATAAATTAAAATGCAGTATTTCTTTCAGTTATAATAGATCTATTAGTTAATATACCTCTTAATGGTGGCATTTTTGGAGGTGGTCGTTCTAAATCAATTTCATCATGATAATTACCACTTTTTAAAATTACATCCGGTGGTTTATGTGTTGGTGTTATTGTTACCTTCATTGATGATTTATGATTATTATTAATTAAATGTAATTCATTAATAGATGTACGAAAATTTTGTGGTGGATCAATTAATGATATAGCAAGACTTTCAATTGATTCATTATCTAATGATGAATTACATCTTGAAATAGGATCATGAATTAGGAATTGTTTACCTTCTTTTTCATTGATTTGTTGGTTTACTTCTTTTTCATTATGTAATTGTTGTTGTTGGTGGTGGTGGTTATCATTTTTCTTTAATAAATACATATTATTATTATTACTATTATTATTAGTTAATGTTATACATCCATATTCTTGAGGATTTATCTCCTTTCGTTGTAATGTTGATTGAATCGATGAATGATTTCATAAATTGATTTATTTTCATTATATTTCTTAAATGATTCAATACAATTATCAATATTAATTTGATCAGTGAAATTATTCGATGGTGATCGGATCATTTCTTTATTGATTATTTCAGATGGAATTGTTTTCATTTCATATTGACAATGATCGGTTATAATATTATTATTATTATTATCATTATTATTAGTGGTATTACGTAATCGATGTTCATTGATATGATCATAATCGATTTTTCGATCACATTTTAATAATCTATGATAATGATTGAATTTAAGTAGACAATCATCATGATGATCATTTATTTCATTGTTTATATCATAACCATATCTTGTTGAATTACTATTAATTGATTGTGATGTATTTATATAATTTGTATTATATATATTATTTGATTGAAATTTATGATCTAATGAAGATGATCTATGATATTCATAATGGATACTATTGATAGATGATGGTGTTGATGATAATGATAATGATGTTGTTGTTGTTGTTGTAATTGTTGGCATATAATCATTTATTGTATTTTTAGAATTTTCACTATTGATTGTATTTGTATTAAGTGGAAGTAAAGTAGAGTTTATATCATTTGATATATCTAATGGACATACATTGAATATACACTAAAGAAGAAACAAAAAAGAAAAAAAGAAATTTCATTGGAAACAATCTAGAAGTAATGATGGATTAAAATAATATAAAAAGTGAGATTGATAGGTTTTGGATTCGAATCATGTGAAGTGGGATCGTGAATACGCATTGTACACTAGAGTCCTATATTAGGATGAAACAGGTGACCAGTTTTGTTAGGTATTCTATGATAGTCTAGCTTCAATTAAGTCATGAATTCAAATATTATAATTACTATAATATCTTTATTGTATATTTGATTTGTTAGCTTAGAAATTATTACTATTATCTTAACTAATCAGATAACATTTCTTCTACTAAATAGGTGAGATCTAGGATATTATTTACTTATTATTTATTTTAACACATAGGTATTGGTACAAGGAGGCACCAAATAAATATGCGCCACAAAGATCTGGTCCGATATGTGTGAGGGCTGTGATACTGCCCGGGTGGTTTTCTTAGGGGACCACACTCGGAGCCTTCGACCTGAAGGTCTAATCAACAAGGAAGTGGGTCAATGTCAGGAGATGCAGTCTCATGATAGCCGGTGACAAACGATTGTTTCATACTCCATTTATTCCTTCACGATATTGTAGCCCATGTGCACCGTTGGTTTGGAATGGGAGTTTTTCAACTCCTATAGGTGGACTCTCTGTGTCCACCAACCTGGTTAAAGAACCGGTCATTCTCTCTTCATCCTCTCGATTTCGTAAATAACATCACCACCACGAGAAGGCAGTAAGTAGGACTTCCCTGGCAGAGGCTATATACTCGTGGCCATGTGAGAGCATTTGGAGAGGGAGAGCGGACTCTTCCCACTCTCGGCCGTACCAAGAAATTTGGGGGCGATCTAAGATATGTATTTCGTTCTATTTACGATTCGTCAATTGCATATCCCTGAATTCTAATTTTTATAGTATTTTACAAGTCATTATTTACACTTTTGAACTATTAGCAAAGCTTGTTGTTTAAATATCCAAAATTTATTAAATGAATTCTAATTACAACTACATTGTATTCCTTCGGTGTGAGCTACTTATATCCACATAAGTAGTATATAACGATAGTCAGACATAGAATGTATTTCAGTGGAAGATACTGAGGGAAAGAACGGGAAAGAAGAGCAAGTGGTATGAAAATGCATGAAAAATGAAATCTGAGACGATGGAATGATATTTGCAAAAGGAACAATCAAGTTTGAGACAATTTATATTTTGTAAAATAACTATTTACTGTATGATGGATAGTGGCTAGCAGTGGAATCCAGTTTAAGGCGCGTTTCGACCTAGTTTGAGCTCGTCAGCTGGATATAACTGCATCTCAAAGTTGGTATTCACTCTGGGACTCCAACCCACTACCATTCACTTCAAACGCCATCGCGTTATCGGCTCAGCCACTGAGTCTCGATAGCCACTTGCTTGTGCAATGTGGTGAATTTTAAATTCACTTGGACTTAACGCGCGTTGAACTGGATTCCACTGCTAACCACTATCCATCTTTGCTTATAAAGCTTGCGAATTAAGGCAATATCGAGGTAATAAGCACAGTATGCATATATGCCAATAAGAGACTTATAAATTGCAGTCTTAAACTTCAATGGGAAGATTCAAGCAAAACAACACTAAGTGAACTTATTTTCTTTATGGTTCTCAGATTTTAATGAGATGTTCTGTAATTTTGTTCTCAAATTATATTCGATTGTCCCCACTGGTGTTATTGTTCACTACACTCCTATATATGTATATATATCGATGGTTATATATCGATGGTTTTCAATAATAAATTAAGTCAAGAGAACATCAGGTTATTCATAAGAATTAGTGATAAATAGTTTTTAAATTATAAACTTATCATAGTAATAATCATGTCCATTTAAATATGCTTTGATTTCAACAGCTCAAAAAAATGCTTCCTGAATATCTATAAATACAGGATAAATGAAAGAGAATTATTGCTTTCAACAGCTTCATATTCAGGCTATACCGTTTTCACTACCTTGACGTGATGGTTGGGTTTACCAATCGTGATGAAACAATCGAGTTATACTGGCTGGAATAATCGTTCCTCGATGTCTTACCATATCAGATAAGTCGGTTGAAGGTTGGTAAGACTAAGAGCAGCCATCCCAAGGTCTGAAAGCGATGTCGTACTGATAACTGTACAGAGGTATGACGCCGTAAGGTGTTTCCTTCAAACAACGAGTATAACAGCGGTGCTACCTACCCAAAAGGAAGGGTGGGTTTAGAAAAGGTTGACGTTAAGTTGGACATATCGCCTTATCCTACGGATATCTGTCTCTGGTGGTAAGGTTCTAATAAGTACGGAGCTAACACTAAAATTACTCACAAAAAGGTCGTATGTGACCGACCTTAAGCAGTTGTCCATTGGGCACTGCAGTCACGCTCTCAGTTCACTAAGACCACCTCTAACCTGATCTTCTTTTTCAGGTGTACGCCTAGAAGAACCCTTCCACGGTTTGGACAATCGGGAAATGATAACTGCCATCATACCTCTAATAGCACTCAAGATCACTGTATACAATTGAAAATACAAGCAACGTATACATATATCAGATACGAATAATCCAATCAGGGTTATACCCGAAAAATATCAGATTTAACATTGTTAAGAATCTATACTTTGTTGCTAAAGGATCTGGGTTATCTGATTGTAACTCAAGATAACTAGATATGTTTCACCAGATTTTGCTTACATATTCGGAGAAGACACGATTTCATTCTTGTTGGTGGATAATTATCTGATATGAAATTGATGGTGTTCATTGTCTATCAGATGAAAAACAGTACGACTATCAACGACCATTTTTCCCAACTTTACCGACTCATGTCGCAATTCTTTAATTATAGTATATTTAGTGAAAGATTTATTTATTTTTTCATTGAGATCATCAATTGATCACTGTTAGACCACCGTAGAAAACCTGGAAGCATTGGTTAGCGGTTTCACATTAGTAAAGGTACTCCACAACGGTACTCAACCACGACCCCGTATGCGGGATTTCAGTCCAGGAACTTCGGTCTCGCACGCAAACGCTTAACCTCTAGCCTTCTGACCCGACCGGGATACAACGGTGTTATTGTCTAACTGCAACTAATCCATAAAATTGCGCGACCATCTTCCATTGTACTGTGGTAGATACCTGTCTCTACTAGACATGGATTAATTCCAATGTACACGGCTTCTCACTTGTACTACGAGCGTTCACAGGTGCGAAATCGAACTTCCTGAGTCCAAGTCCCACGTGCAGGATGCGCATGGATGCTCATATATGTATTATTTTGCATATTATAAATGATTAAACTTACTGGTGACTGATTTAATGTAGGTGTTATTATTTTCATACCGTATAAATCAGATATATTCTGATGATGTCCTGTTATACAACATGATTTACCATCATAATGTTCATGATTTACACTACAATGATTTATGTTTCCTGATATATTCGTATTTATATGACATTGACAGTGTTCATTATGATATTTATGTAAATCATTTATTATAGAATATGAATTAATTGGTAATTTACATATGGAACATAAACATTTTATATCATTTGTTATAGGTATCTCTAGTCTAGAAGATGTATTATGTAATAGATTTGAATTGATTGTTGACCAATCATCATTTGTATGAGAAAAGCATATTGTTGAGCATTTATTTGATTTAGATTTGATTTCAGTAGTTCTTCTTTGATTATATTTACGATATAATAATATAATGATAAATAGTATACTGAATAGGATTAATAAACCACTACCAATACCAATTAATAAGGATTGTAATAGAGATGGATTGATGGATTGTACATAAGGTTCTTGATGTTTATATAATAGCTCATTTGTTCTTGTATTCATTTGTATATTGATTGACTTTCTTGGATCTATGAAAACTTTCTTCTTATCTAATTTATAAGAAAAAGAATTGTTTAAATAGGATAAGTATCATTACCAAGGTTTAACATTACCATAAGTTAATTGGATCTAGAAAACTATCGAAAATCTGGAAGCATTGGATGGCCGTTTCGTTCTAATATGGGATCTCTTAGTAGTGCGTATACACGACCCCGCCTCGCGGGATTCATCCTCTCAATTTCTTTAACAACACCCTTATTGAAAGAAGGCAGCGAGTAGGACTTCCCTGACATTGGTTATATGCATGTGGTCATGTGAAATCGTTTGGAGAGGAAGAGCTGATTCTCCTCACTATCGGCCGTACCAATGCATTTGAGGGCACTGGAAAATGTGGATTATACGATTTTAATTTCATATTTCAATGATATGACATGTGATAAACTACTTCAGTAAATATAATTCTTCTCTTTTTAGCACTGAACCATTGTATTACATAATAATGTTCTGGAGCACGGTCTGTCTAAATGGACTATTGAATTCTTAAATTACACCATGAAATAATAGTTTAACTATGATCAGTTATCATAGTATAGGTTATCAACAATTAGCAACACATTGACAGAATTATTAAAATTCTAATCTCATTGTTCAGTTCTTCTAAGCTTATCAA